GAAAATATCAGTTAATTTCCAGTTGTTGCTGCGCTTTGTCCAAGGCCTTTCCTTTTTGCTTGCACTAGCTGGTTTAGCCACTGCTGTTGCACTTACTGACCTATCTATTGCGGATGTATTTGCCTGCATATTGGCTTTCATACCCACTGGATGGGGAATTCTCTGTGTAAGTAGAATGAAAACTATTCTCTCTCAGGGTATGTTTGGTGAAGAAATCAGATATGGGTTTCCATATCTCCCATATGGAGTTTCTAAAATTAATGTTTGGTGAGTAACCAAAGGATTTCAGCTTCCATATCCGAAGATATTAGAATTCTGCGTATAAGCTGTTTTTTGATATATCGATCTAATTGCCGATTTCAATTTTAAAACAGAAGATTTAATATAGATTCCTCTTCCAAGTCAATATTTTGGAGCAACTGGTACATGGGTTTGCGGAGATCTCCATTCTCCATTCAAGGCGGTGGCAGTTCTGTCTCCGGCAATGAAAGAGGAGGAGGAGGCAGCGGCTCTGTCTTCACCGGCGGCAAAGAAAAGAGGCGTGCAGGTTTCTGTCTCCGTCGGTGGTGAGATAGGCAGTGGCAAGACTATGTTGGTGTTAAGATTATTACATGAACTCTCTTCTTTATTCTATTTGTTTGTTTAATGATGATTTACCTTTGAACACAAGGAAATATGTTTCCAGAATTCCAACATATCCTCGTCTATTTACCAAGTTTGCTATGTTGTCACTACATCCTCTATTTTTCTTGTGAGACATTTGGTAGATTTTGTTTCAGGAGTTAGATATGTTTTTCTTCCTAGGTTTTCGGCATGGTGGTTGAAGCGCATCCAAAAAAACTTGTGAGAATTCTAAATGTTCCAAACTTTTAGAGTATTCACTATCTTACGGTTTTTGTTTTAAACAAGGTTTATATACATAGCAGGTTTTTACTAAGTAGGTCACAAGAAGATCTGGATTTTGATCAAATTTGAGATATAATTTTTTTCTTCTCAATGTTTGTGGTTTGCTTTATCTTTGAAACAAAATAATAATAATAATAATAATAATAATAATAATAATAATAATAATAATAATAAGAAACCAAAATAAGGTGAACATATCATTACCCCAGAGAACAATGTTGATATAATCATGTCTTCGCTGATCACACTATTTTGTCTCATGTAACTCCTATGCAGTTTCAACTTTTAGTGCATGTTTCTGTGTTAATATACAGCTATTTGGCTAAGCAATTGTCAAGTGTGCTCTTTTTTCCCAGGATTCTTTGCCAACATCTTTTATTTGGTTAGTGTAATACTCAAAAGGAGTATGGAGATACTACAATATGGAATTTAAGTACAGGCTCTCCTTATCTTCAGAAGATAAATAACAAATGCCAAATGTGAAAGGTCAATGGAAGGGATTTGACAGCAATGAATATGGATCTTCTGGCTGTGATAATTCTGGTGAAAAGGTTGAAGCCAATAGTTTAAAGCGTAGAAAGATCACAAAAAAACATCTTTGTGAGATTAATGATCTCAAGTAAGAAGTAACATCCAAAAGTGAGATATGTACAAGTTCAAGTCATAGGTAATTACATAAAATTTATAAATCTCATTCGAAACTCTATTGTGATACAGATGCTATACTTGAAACTCTTATTCTTTTTCTTACTTAGGGGTATTTTTTGTTGTTGTGGCTAATAGTCTACTCTCACTTTCATCCTTTTAAGTCAATCGAGTTAAATACATTTTGTTGCAGGCTTGGACAAAACTCCAGATCCGTATAAAGTTGGCAAAGGAACTACTAATATCCTGCCTGAGTTCTTGAATTTGTACGATGATACCAGAAGCTATATGATTTTTCTGAAAAAAGAGGTCATGTCAATTAATATCAAGGAAAACTGAAAGATCTCAAAGTTGGGCATATTCCATATTCCAAGTTTCTTAACTCTATTGAGAGCATCATCAGCTTTGACCGCCTTTATTACCTGCGAAAAGGTATTCTCATTAGTATTTAAAATACTCCGTAGAACTCTTTCATCACATACATTAGCATATATTTACACGACTTCTAAATAAATATATTAGCTTCGGGCTGTTAGTGTAAGATTGTAAGCATAATATGTATGTATGTATGTATGTATGTATGTATGTATGTATGTATGTATGTATGTATGTATGTATGTATGTATGTATGTATGTATGTACGTATGTATGTATGTATGTACGTATGTATGTACGTACGTACGTACGTACGTACGTACGTATGAGTGCATCTGATCTATTATGATAGAATTTGATTTTACTAAAAATAAATAATGAATAAGAAAAAATAATTTGAACAAAACCAAACCTAAGAGAATGAAAAAAAATATGATGATAAACATTAAATAGAGTAATGACTCCTAATAAGTACTTCGTAATGAAGTGGGATAACAAAATGAGGTGGGAGAACCGATGGGAAGAATTAACAAGAAGAAAACTAGTAAGGGCGTTAATGCAATTTTTAGAATTTAAAATGATGTGGAGTCTTTTATATAGGCCTTGTTTGGGAAGAGCGTTTTCAATTAGCGTTAGCGTTTTGGATAAAATATTAACCGTGTAGAGATAATTCGGAAACGCTAAAAGCTACCGTTAGATAGTCTTTTCAAAATGCTAACGCTAATCTCTAACGTTCATGCCAAACGGAGCCATAATATATACACATGGCAGTAATTTAATGGAAGGGTATCCATACCCTCTCTACTCGGCGGCGTTTCCTTCGGTGCTATTTGTAAAATGAGGGTTTTGGTGCCCTCCACAAGTGGACCAATGAGAGTTAAGCATCTTCCACGTCATTTATTTTTGTGTATTATAATCCAACCCCAAATTTATAATTGAATTTTTATTTCTTTGGAGTTTGGATCCACCGTTTCTCACATCCGTTAACTGAATCCCTAGCGCCGTCTACCACATCTCCGTCTACAACATCTCCTTGTTTCTGCATCGCCGTCTCCCTCCATCCTTTCCATCGTTCTCTTTGCCGGAATCAGAAGCCGACCGCTGCCGACGATCTCCGGCGTTGTCTTTTAATTGAGATAATAGAATTATGTGTATCCATCTTGTAATGGAAAATTAGAAGAAAAAAACCTAGCAGCTTGATTCCGAAGTTCAGATGAGATCCGACCTAGGGAAACTACTCTGGGTCCGGTAGAGAGAGGTTTGGGGGGATGGCGGCAGCGGCGGCTTCTGATTCAGACAAAAACACCGCCGGAGAGTGGAGACGATGTACGCAGTCGAGAGGATGCAGGAGCCAATGTAGGAGATGGCCGTCACGGATAGAAATTAACGGAGATAAGAGACGTGAGATTTACTGGGTACCAAAAGAAATAATAATTGAATTTTAAATGGGCTGATTGTAATAAACAAAAATATTCTCCGTATTAAATTATGTGGAATAGGGTACACGTGTCATCCACTCATTGGTCCACTTGTGGAGGGCACCAAAACCCTCATTTTACAAATGGCACCGAATGAAACGCCTATCTACTCACCTCTCTCATTTCTCGTTTTTATTTCCACTTTCAATTACACCAGCCGCGGTCGTCGTCTCCCTTCTCCGCTGATGTCGTCTCTTTCCTTCACCGCCACCGTCTTCATCCTCTGTCGCCTCAGAAGCCGTTTGTGCGGATGTCGTCTTTGTCGTGGTCATCATTCTTCGCTTAGGGCTTATACCTCCCTTCTTAGATCGGATTCTCCTTCCATCATATTTGTGTCCATCAGATTTATGTACCTCGATCAAATGAGAGGTTTGATTTTTCACCTTCTACTTTTTGCTGTTCGTGATCTTCGTTTGTCCATTTGGACTGTGGCTGTTGAAATGTTGAATGTTAATAGACGATGGCCAAGCAACCAGAGATATAACCCATTTGGGGGCTGCAATCTATTGCTTTCTCTCCTCCATCATTGTATTTTCTTTTCTTTTCTATTTTTTCTTATTCACTAGCTATGTGTTAGGGTTTACAATTTCAAACAACACTCCGTATTTTGTTAATCATTTTTTGTCAAGGTTTTGTTACTATTTCCTTCTCGTGTTAGGTTTTGTCCATTTCTTGTTATTTGGCTGTTGTATTGCTCTTTTGCTTCTTGCTCTAATCAATTGGTGCTGCTGGTCTATTTAGTGTATTTGGGTAAGATACTTAGAGTTTTTTTTTTCTTTTGAAAATTTATTTAAAGCAGTTGGAACTTTGAAAAGCACCCTTTTGAAGAGACTAAAATTGTGATGCAGGAGGTTATGACATGGAGGAAAAAGATACAAGGGTATATGAAATAAGGCAACTGCCTGCAACATAATGGTCTGCGACCTCATCTAAGAAAAAGCGTACGAATATAGGACTTTAGCCGTTCCTCTTTAACTCAAATTCCTCTTCAGTGTTCCCTGCAAATCCACCAATTTAGAGAGCTTCTTCACACCATTTTTTTTCTATTCTAATTTCTATATATTTGCGGTAGGATCTCAAATCATCTTACTCTGTAATGTCACCTGCTTAAGATTCTTGCTATAGATCAAGGATGTCTCACTGATTCAAGAAGGACACCACCATTTTAAGGTGGAATATTTTTCTTCTCTTGAATTCTTTATTTAAACCTGTACTTTTCAAAAAAAAAATGGTGATTTTGAATTCATTTTTACAGTTTTGTGATTTTTGAATTTCCTCTCTTTACATAATTTGATAACCTTCAAGTTGAAGTGCAAAATTTAGGTGCAAGTATGTCTCTCATTCATTGTAGGAATTTGGAAGAAAAGAAAAGAAAATAATTCTCTCTTTTTCTTTACCAAAATAGGTAAAGAAATTGTGTCCAAATTATTTAATCTGTTGTTTAACAAATCAAATTTAAAAAATACCAACAAATATCTCTATAATTTTTTTGATTTATAATGGCTATGATTCACCTTCCTTTCATATATGCAGGCCAAAAACGAGTAGCTCTATGAGTGGGAAGACTCTATTAAATGGTAATTTTGAATTTTTTCATTTGTAGATGCATTCGGTTGTTAATTTGTTGTTTGTGTGTGACTATTATTTGTTTTTCAATTACTAAAATTGATTCGGAGTGTGAGAAACGAAAATGTTTAAATTTAATTAGACTGTTGAATATTGAACAAGGTTGTACTCTGAAACGTGCCATGGTCGTTCAGATTAACTAGAAGATGATGAAATTTGCCATGATTAAAGATTTGTACTCTGAATCTGTTCGACTAAGGCAAGGCCAGTATTTCCTTTCTCACATGTACCATGTGCATCTTTATTTTTATTTGGAGAAAAATTAGAAGTGATATCTGTTTTGCTTTTGTGATGCATACATCTTTTAAAGAGCATATTTAATGTCAACCAGAGGTCTATGCTTTGAGAGAAGAAAACAAATTCTCCTCTTTACAATCGTAGCAAGAATAGGTTCCCACCTAAATACCAAGTCCACCCTTTAGTGTTTCACCTTATAGGTTGGTTTTTGGAAAAGCTTGTCATTTACCAGTTGAAATAGATCATAGGTCTTATTGGGCTGTTAGGGAAGTTAGTTTAGACTGATGCAGTTGGAAAAGAGAGAAAATTGCAACTTTCAGAGTTAGAAGATGTTATATCTGGGCCCGGCCCTATCCTACCCTCCCCCATGTCCCACACTCCCATGGGAACCAAAGGACTTAGGTTCAAACATTATGATCCATTTTAGTAAGAATTCAAAGTCCTTTAATCCGGAAGGCCAAATAACTTTCGTTTTTGACCTCGGGGTTCCGCTGGCCAATCCTCTTTCCGTCCAACTCAACCCCAAATATCCAAAAGTATTTTATTTCCTTTTGATATCCAAAATAAAGTTCTTCCTACTCTTATTTTAGCCCAGGACCGAAAATAAGAGTGTAAACCAAAACCTTTTTGTTTGTTGTTATTTTCCTTCTTTTAAGCCTTTTAATAAACAAGTAGAACCTTCCCTTCCTTTTATTTCCTGGCCAATTAAAACACACAATCCCAACATAAACACCCACAAAAAGCCAAAACCCTTCCCC